CCGAGGGTTCGGATCCCACATACAGACTGGTTCCCGCTCACTGGCTGAGCGAGGCGCGGGGGCAACACCGAGGGTTGCGATCCCGTTGCCGGTCCCGGTCCGGTACGGGGGCGACACTGAGGGTTGCGATCCGTTGCCGGACATGGAAAAAGAAAAAAAAAAAAAAAAAAAGAAGAAGTCATTCAGACTTAAGTATGAATGTGTCATTTAGTAGTTGAAGCCAGTGTTAGATATTTCGTTTCCCTTTGTCTTCATTGCATGTGATAGGCATAAGTTTAAATTGCCATTGAGATCAGAGTGTTTTATATTTAAAATCAGAGAACCATCTCCCAACCCATTATTTGAAAGCAGATTTAATGTAAGACCAAATTAATCAGGATAGGAGAGTGCAAGAAGTTAAGGCAAAAAAGAAAATAATCCCATTGTAAATCTGTAAAAGTATTCTACACAGTGCTCTTAGCTTGTTATAGCTTATTACACAGTTGTTGACTATAGGTAATCAAGTTGGAGTGGTAAGAAGGAAGCCTCCTATTTTCTATTACAGAAATAAAGCAGGTATATCATATGTCCAAGGGATATATCTCATTTTTTTGTTCTATAAACAGGAAGCACAGTCCTATGCAGATGACAATAGTTTATTATTCATGGAGACATCAGCTAAAACATCAATGAATGTAAATGAAATATTCATGGCAATAGGTAAGATTAATATCTTTATTCAAATGATAAACATTGGCAAAACAAGTGTGGAATATGTTTGACTCTTTTTTTAAAAAATTTCATGGATTTTTTTTCCTTTTTCTTTAATGATTATATACTTTTCTAGGTCCCTTCCACCAAGTGATACTTTTTTAGTAATATTGTAAAATTTGAAAGATTATTACCTATTAGATTGTAATACTGTAAGTTAAGTTTCTTCCCAGTGAGTTAAGGCCGGAATTTGACCTGATAGTTCAAGCAGATAGATTTTCCTCCAGAGGTGTCACTGAGAAATTTGGGTAAATACATGTGGTTTTTTGTTTGTTTTCGTTTGGGTGGCTGGCCTGTACAGGGATCCAGACCCTTGACCTTGGTATTGTAACCAACTGAGCTAACCAGCCAGCCCCTCATGTTTTTCTGTTAGGTTTAAACACATACCAATATTTTTTTAATGCAACATGTAGGCATAATGAGATTTCTTTCTCACTAATCAATGACTTGATCTTTGTCCTGAACAGAGCACAATTTTTGTTCTTCAAGTTCTTTTTGAGTCAGATTATTGATAAATGTAATTCATAAAAGTATATGATACATAAGTATACAGATTGACAAATTATTTTAATGTAAACACTGTAATTGGAGTAGTAATAAGCCTCCTTTTTTCTGTAACAAACATAAAGATATTTCTATTGGCCCTAACCTCTTTCCAGTAATTTTAAGGTATAGGTTCTACCTGAAGGGTCTAACTTGGTAGCTCTCACAGTTTCCTGCCTTCACAGTTTTCATGTGCCCAGCACTCTGATCATCCCATGATATCTTTTATTATATAGCAGTGGTTCTTAACTGGGATGTCACAATCCTAAACCCAAATAAGAAATACTCTAAAATTGAACTCATACAAATTAACAATAGCTAAATCTGAGGCTAATGAAAACCTAGTAAAAGCTGTGTGTACTCTTACATTATTTTTCACTAGGTAACAGTTTACTGGTGGCTCATTTGAAATGGAAAACAGTTGCCTATCTGTTGTGTACAATATTTTCCTGAAAATCTCAGGCTTGCAGTTTGCTAGGGAAATACTGGCACAGTTATGAAGGATTGTGGGACAATATGCTTTTTTAAAAAAAAAAAAAATTGGACAGACTACAATCAGAACCACATCTGAAAAGTTAGGAACAGGAGACAATAAGTTCCCCAAATCAGAGTGAAATTTAAAACTTTCTTATGGTTTAAGACTGTACCAAATGGGTTTTAATTTGTATCTTTTATTCAGATGTGCTAATAAGGTAATTTTTCAGTCAAGAAATAGCCTACATGTGGTGCTGATAACACTGAGGTCAAGGGTTTGGATCCCCATACTGGCCAGCCACCAGAAAAAAGAAAGAAAATAGCCTATATATTTGAGGTTTTTTGGTCTTTTGTATTTTTTTTTTTTTTTCCTGAAATTACAATTTTTTTCCTTGAAAGAAATCCCAAGTGTAAGTAGAATTGTGGCCTTTCCATTTTCTTCATGATTTAAATTTAGTAATAACATGGTGATTATTTCAAAATCTCACTCAGATCTAATTACAGAAAGCCTTTGGAGAAGTTTGCTAAGGGGAGAAATGATGGCTTAATCCAGAACCTGACTTGGTATTAATTATTATACAGTTTATAATGGTAGCTGGTTCTCTCCCCCAGGGTGCCAGAGTTCAGCACATAGAGGGCTTTGCTTGTGAATACATCTGACTGGAAACTTACTATCATATTACCATTCATTCTGCCATCTTTAGAGCCGTTACTAGAGAAGTGGCCCAAATGAAGACTTTTTTCCCAAATTCGAATGCTCCTGGCTCCCAGACCCATTGCCCAGCTCAGCATCTAGGATTCTAAAACTAATTAATGCTGATGTGGAATATGTAGAACAAATAAGGGATAAATGATTCGCAATGCAATTAGGCATTCAAGCTTTGAAGTAGAGCACATTCAACTTCTGAGTAACCCTGAGTAAGGGCTGTGGTAAAGTAGTAGTCCATCCCCAAGGTTGATTGATAGAGACCATTGTGTCCAGTTACCCTTAAAATCAGTATTCATATACATATTTAATATTACTACCTCCCCCACCCTCAAAAAATTAGTCTAGCACATCAATAAGCAAGTCCATTTATATTAGGCATAGCTACTGGTGAATCAAGATAGGGTTCTTTATCAGCCCATAGGAGAGGAACTGTGGATATTTGAAGGTTGAAGGTTGTGGAAGCCAGGAAGGAAATAGATGTGATTGTTCATAATTCTGAGTGATAATCAGGCAGCACAGTAGAGGACAAGTTTTGTTGGGGTGCTGGTACTAATCATATTTGTTTGTATCCTGACTTGTTCCAAAAAGCGTTTGTGGCAATCCAGAGAGAACATTGATAGGTGAACTTCCTGATAAACTTATTGGCTGGCCATCATGTTTATTCACTTAGATTTTCTTTAAATAATAGAAGTATTAATGATTATGAAATAAAATACAACTTTTCTGGTATTAAGGGGATCTATGTAAAGAATTATTATAGCTCTAGTCAATTTTAAGTTTTGTGTGTCTACAACTGGTCCCCATCTATCCCTCCCTGAATAGAACTCCCCAGAAATTAAACACCCTTAGGACAGCACCCAATTTTTTGACATTTAATAGATATTCAATAAACATTTGAAAGGAATGAACATAGGTTATGTGATACTTTGGCTGGTACCCTAATGGGAAAGAAAGCTTATAAATAAGCAGACAAAAGTAATTTTAATATAAATATTCTAATTGTCTTTATCTTGGTAATTTATCTCTCAGCTAAAAAGTTGCCAAAGAATGAACCACAGAATCCAGGAGGAAATTCTTGCAGAGGAAGAGGAGTAGACCTTACTGAACCCACACAACCAACCAGGAGTCAGTGTTGTAGTAACTAAATCTCCAGTTTGAACTAGCTGGAATATTCTTCTGCTTCCTAAATGTTATAACAGTGGAATTGGAGCATTTAACCAGCCCAGTGTGACTTCCAAAAAGAAGAGACTTATGATAAGAGTCAAGTTTCTAATACAGAATTATTTTAAGTGTTTTGAACTTAATTTTTAATAACATGCATGTGTCCCTCTGACTAATGTTTCAGCAATAGAAAGGGAAAATGAGAATTACAAGTATGTGTGTACTTGTTTTATTGGAAGATTAGGAGGAATTGTTTCTCATCACTAGGGATATAGACAAATGACCCACAGTTAACCAGCCAGTTTCTCCAAACTGGTACATATTAGTCATCTGTGGGAAAGATCTGGAACTTATTAATTTGGACTCTTCAAAATGTTCGTTTTTTAAAAGGAGATTCTAAAGATTATGCTTAGCTCTCAGTATTCAGGCAAATAAATGGTAATTTCCCCTGGTATCTATAAAGTATACATTCCACATTTTAATAAATGAACTACAAGAAAACAGTCCCCACATCTCCAGGGGGGAAACGGATATTAATAGCATCTAAATTATAGCCACTTCTGGTATTTTTTTAATGGGATAAGAAAGTCAAATGTAACACCATCTTGTTTTCGGAATATGAAAACTAACTGATAAATGCATCTTAATGGATGGTGTTTCCATCAAACGTGAACTCTTCAACAAAAATGAAACAAACCCAGGTGTCTGTGATTTCCTTTTAATCACTGCTGGCCATTACATAGGTTTTGTTGGGGGGCAGGGAAGGGGCTTTTGTTCCCTTTGGACATAATATAGTCAGTGCACTAACAATTATGTACATTCAAACTTGATTATTTTAAATTCAGTCTTCAGCTGTACTGTATATAGGGTACTGCATTGTAGTCTCCATATGTTTATTACTTTTCTGTAATATTTAAGTGTTGCTTAAAAGTATACAAAATGTACAGTTACTAAAACAGCTAATTATTTTGTTTTCTCCTCCTTTGAAAGGAAGGGGCATCAGTTGTTCTTTCATGGCTAGAACCATAATAAACAATGTACCTGTAATTTGTAACAGAAGTATTGCAATATGTTAGTAACAATCTTGCAGCCTAGTTTTCCAAAGTTCATTTTATTTTGATCAGTTCAGTAACTTGCACTAATTATTTTAGGTATTTTCATTATATGAAATCTACCATGTGTCAGAGATGATTTAATCTATTTAAGTGTTGAACTGCTAGCAGAACTTGTACATTTACAGTAATTCAGAATTAGTAAGGAAAACAGTTCACCAGTGTTTAGTTTTATATTGAGGTGCTCAGGTTGGAATAAAGTGGTATAAAAAGCAAGTATTGTTTTTTCTCTCTTTTTTTGTTCTTGAAGCAGTGAACATATATTAATTTTATATAGCCAGATATCTGCTTTTATGTTTTCCTTGCTACATTCTTAAAAATTATTTGCATGGAATTGATGAACCATCCTATCATCTAGCTCATTGAAAAATTGTCTTTGTGGTATAATATATTGGTGTTCTGGATAATTGTAACTTTATTTTTATGACAAAAACTGATATTCAGTTCCATTGAGAAATATTACCATAACTGTAATGTTGTCTCTAGAGCCAGCCTCTAAAGCAGCATTTACAAGTTCATGGCTAACATACTCAGCTGCACCTTCATAGAAGTTCTTAGTGCATGATGGTTCATTTTCACTTGTTGGCACATCATCTGCAGTAGTCCATCTATCAGTTTCTCTCTTACTGCAACATTCATGATTAGTCATTTCTGATAGAAATGTTTCTACATTTTCAGGGTTATAAGTGCAACATTCAGAATATTTTGGATCAGACAAATTTTGCTTTGAATTTGTAGTTGACACACGTTCTTTAGATTCAGGTTTATACTGAAACAATACGTGGATATTATTTTCGGATTGAGTAACGTTTGGTTCACTGATTGAAAAACACAGGGGCCCTTTGGATGATGATTTGTTTTGCATGATAGAAAAGTATGTTTCTTTATACATTTGAAACGTCGTCATTGCCAGTGCAATGACTTCCTTTTTATCCAAAACTTCCCAAAGTCCATTAGTAGCTAATATAAGGAATTGACATAAGTCATCTATAGGGACAGAAATGGTTTGAGGTGCTGGGATAATGAATTTTTTGATTTTAAGATTTCCATGAAATCCAAGTCCTCGTGTGGTTTTTATTTGCCCTTCTAGGAGTCCATATTGTTCATTTGAACTAATTACTGCTCCGTTCTGAAGTACTCTTCTTCTTTCGTTTATGTTTCGCGTAGTATGTTCTTTGGTTAGGCAAAAACCTTTTCCATTTCTGCATAAGACTGCTTGCACATTACCTAAAAGATTATTTTTAAAAAAAATTATTCTAGAGATTAATAACCATTTATATCAAAGTATGCTGTTAGCTTTACTAATTATGTGTTTCAATGCTAAATAGAAAACAGACCATGTAAAAATATAAAATGTGTAATATTGATATCGTGACTGGATAATTTACAGTAATTTAGATTTCAAGTTGGGAGGCCAATTTAGTCCTCGCTAAGCAACTTTTAGTGTTTAACATACTGCACTTAGTATTAAAATAAAACTACAGACAATAAAAGATAACTTCTAAATTTTTTTATGAAACAGCTTTAGAATATTTATTTTGGAGAGTCAAGAGTTGAGATCTTTTATAATCAACATATATATATATATATATATATATAGCAGATATTTTAAATGTTTAAATAAATGTTTTTTCAATTAAAACCAAACTTTGAGTTTGACAATTTTCTAACTGGTAAAAATTAAAACCTAAACATACTTAGGTCATGGGTGATGCAAAAATTAGAATGCCACTATTAATGTCAGTCTTACTAGGTTCCTGTAATGTGTGGTTTAAAAAATTAATTGGTCCTGTGAAGAAAAAATATGTATTAATGTATTAAATGGATAATAGCCAACATTAAATTAAACCCTTTGGTTGAAAACTTAAATCTTTAAAGTTGGTTGTATGTTGTTCATGGTTCAGATGAACCTGTGGATATGTACTTCATTGAAATGTTAAGATCTAAACATGCTGTGAACATTTTGAGGGATGGTTGTATTACTAAAACTTTTTTTTGTTTATTAAAAAATAGAATTTTTTGAGTTAGGAAAAAATGGATTTTTCCCATTTTTAGGAACATAATTATATATTCAAGCATAGGCAATAGTTTTTTTTGATACAGAACTTTTTTATAAAAAGTTCTAAATTGTTTAAAGATGGGATTAGTGCTGTTTGAATATTATAATGCACTTGAGAATTAAAATTCCAGGAATAGGGCCGACCCCGTGGCTCACTCGGGAGAGTGCGGTGCTGGGAGCACAGCGGTGCTCCCACCCTGGGTTCGGATCCTATATAGGGATGGCCGGTGCGCTCACTGGCTGAGCGCGGTGCGGGCGACACCAAGCCAAGGGTTACGATCCCCTTACCAGTCAAAAAAAAAAAAAAAAAAATTCCAGGAATAGTATACCAAATTTACTTTAGATAAAATATTCTGGTTTTAGCCATGTCAGAATTTTGTTGCTTGCAGGGCCCCCAGTTTTTTAGGTAGAAAAATTTAGGCTTATGTAGCTGAGGTCCATGCAACTAGTAGGACTGGACAGAAAGCCTAGGTTGATGTAGCGTTAGTGTCAGGTATAGACAGAGAGTACTGGCTCACTTACTTAGTGGAAATTATTAATATCTGAGCTATTTGGTACCAAAAGATGATGTATATAAAAAGTATTTTGGAAACCTGACTACTATATAAATGACAGCTCATAAAACTATATGACTTCTCATTTCTTTATACTTTGGTTCTTATTGTTTTGTATTTTTACTGCTGCTTATTTTACTTAGATTCAGCAGAAAGTAAATCTGTAAAGTAATTCTTGACTTTGGCTGGGTTGTAAATTCTTACTGTATCAGCAAAGCAGCATGTAATGGTATTTTACATGCCAACTGGGTAAGCTGAATTATTACATTAGGAGGACATATGGTTCAATACCTCTTTTAAATTAGAAAAAAATTTACATGTGTACATAAACAGATACTCTTCTATTTACAATGGAGTTAATGTCCCAATAAACCCATCATTAAGTCAAAATGCATTTAATACCTCGATAAACTCATTGTAAAGTCAAAAACTCGTAAGTTGAATCATCTTAAGTGGGAGACTGTCTGTACATATGAATAGTGTAACCAAAGCTCTGAAAACATGGGACATAATTTGGCTGAAAATAGTCAAAGCTATTGACTTTCTAAATGTCTATTTGCATGTGGTGAGCCAAAGCCCATTCAGCAAAAGGAAAAAGCATTATTTTCCTGCTATATTATTTTAAAAGAATTTAAAACAAATATGAACTTACAATGGAAGGAAGTATGATAAAAAGATATTATGATTTTAATTGCCTCTGCAGAGAGCTTGGTAAATGTAGCCTTACGCACTATTTGCGCGCACACACACTAGGGAGAAGGAAATGCTATTTTGGCTCATTTTACTACTATGAGCATCCCTTGAGTTTAGCACAATAAAATTTTCTAGAAGGAACATTAAATCCTGATTATAGCTCTTAACTCTACCATCAGATTGCTGTCTGACTTTGAGCAAGTTACTTAATTGACAGTTCATTTGTCCTGTGAAAAGGACATCCTTCCCCTGTGTGGATGGTGCATGAAGGAAAGAAAGTGAAGGAGAAGAGGTAGCTGGTGTTTCTCAACTATTCGTGCATGTAACCTAGGAGGTAAAGGATAAATAAGATTCAGGCTCTGAAAGAGTACTAATGGAACAGACATTTTAAAAATTGGATTTAGAGAGTCAATGGTTTTGTTTCTTGAACATGGAGTTGAATATGCTGTCAGCTATAAGTGGGGTTATTGAAGTCAAGTGACTACATTAACTTGAAAGGTAGAATAGGGTGATGAACAAAGGCCCCATGAAGATGGGTAGTTGGAGGAAGATTTTAAAATATCACTGTTCATGTGCATATAGTCTGGAGAATTGAAGAGAGAAGAGCAAGTCTTTGATAGTTTGAAAGCGGACAGACTAAAGAAAGATTCCTGTAACAGCTCTTTGGAGGAAATGAGAACTAATAACCAAGCAGTGAACCAAGCAGCGAACACAAAAATTTTAATCTGAGCATAAATAAGAATTCAAATTCCTAGATGTGAAGTTACCAGCTTTGGTAGTTGGAGAGATTGTGCTCTTCAGAAAATGTTATCAGAATAAAAATGGTATAAGTTTACTGGAAGAGCACATCTCTAGGGACAGTAATCTTGGGGATTAAAAAGAGCTGCTTTGAGATGAAGCTCAAGCCTTTTTAGGGTGACATGTGTAGTCAGGTAGAGTGTTTCTTATGCAGAGGGCAGTGATATACCTGCCTCCTGCAATTACTAGGTTATCTCCAACTTGTGTGAAAAGGAAGAGTCCAGTAAACTTCAGGATGAACTCTAGAATCTGAAGCAGGGAATTCTAGATCTGAGTGGGCAAGATCAAGATATTTCTTAGTGGGCCGGCCCGGTGGTGCACTGGAGAGTGCGCCGCTTGGGAGCGCGGCGGCGCTCCTGCTGAGGGTTCGGATCCCATGTGGAGACCGGTTCCCGCTCACTGGCTGAGCGCGGTGTGGGCGCAACACCAAGGGTTGTGATCCCGTTGCCGGTCCCCGGTACGGGCGCGACACCGAGGGTTGTGATCCCGTTACCGGTCAGTAAAAAAGACAAAAAGGAAAAAAAAAAAGATATTTCTTAGATAAAGCCAGGAATCTTACTTAGTGTTAATGAAAACAGGAACGTTTTAAGAAACTTTACAATGAAAGGGAAAGAAGAACAGAAATTTCATGTGGTGATAAGAAAAACATATCTAGGATACACAAGATTGCCCTGGCAAAATAAAGATGGGTGGCATAGAAGAAACAGCATGGAGAAGTGGAAAGGCTTAGGAGCCTGACACACTTAGACTTTAATCCCAACTTTGTGTCCTTCATTAAGAGTTCTTCACCTGCAAATTTCTTTTTAACCCAAAATGTGTTTATTGGGATGGTTTCCCACTCATCTTGATTCAGGGTGCTTTTAGTGCTGCTTCCTGAAGGAACATCCTTCTGTAAGCCTTGCTTTTCCTCCTGTGTGCTGGCAGAGGACAGCGGAACAATACACAAAACTGTTGGTTCATGGCTAAAGACTGGTGAGTTTATAGCATCCTGGGCATTTTGCATCCAGGAAGTAGGAATTAGGGCTCTGCACCAGGCTCTTCTTGTGTTTCCTCTTGTCCTCTTCTGGAGAGGGATGGAGATCTTTTGTGAGAGGCCATGTTCTTGTGGGGAG